AGTCTTCAAAAAGTCTTGAAAAACAAAACAAAATCCTTGTAGGACCTTGAAGGGGGTCATATCCTACCCTTAGAGCTGCAGACCATGGTGGCCCAGAGGCTCTGCTCACCCAGAGCCTCCAGGAATCAAGAAACAAATCCTGGGTGCTCTGTATCTGTTTTCTGCAATGTGCCTGGGAAGTGCATCCCTACCGTCTCCCTTCCTGTTTCTAGACCTTTCCAGAGGCTCTGGTAAGGAGTGTTTGAGTTACCGGTGCATTCAACAGCTTATTGGAGATGAAAATCAGAGCTGTTTGGACGCCTGGCCTGTGTGAGTGACAGGTGTTCCTTCTCTTCTGCAGGTCTGAGCGGAGAGAGTTAAAGCCACGTTAGGGAGGTGAGAATCCAAAAGTCATCAGGTCTGACCTCTCTCACTGCCATTGGGAGCTTGAGTCCTCCTCTCAGCCTCCTGGTCACCTGGGCTGGGAGTGTCTCAGCATGCATGTGGTGCACATACTTAGAAGCAGGTAAAAGAGCCACCCACATAAAAGGCTTTAAAATACATATCCTGCAGGGAACATTGTATTAAGCGAAGTCACAGAGCGACTCTGTCTCCTCCTTCCTCTCCTCTATCCACTCCCCACAAGGTGGAAACTGAGGACAGGAGAACTGGCTAAGCACGTGGCCCAAGGTCACGCAGATGGCAAATGACCATCTCTCCGAATTCAAATCCTAGTGGCTCAGGCTGCCGCCCTGACACTTGGGCGCACTCGATTTCTACGGGAGGTTTCCTCCCGTACAAATGAAACGCCCCGTTTCGATAACACAAATAATCTGTGTGAAAAGTCTATTCTGTTCCGTTCCTGCCCTCACTCCTCAGTCTGTAGAGCTCGGGAGCACAAAGCCTTCCTCAGACGCCCATAGAAGCGATGAAAACATCTCCCATTGTCTTTTCAGTGCTGAGCTGCTAAGCGGAAAACTGATGTGCCAACAAAGATTGGCCCCGAGCACCATGTCTATATGAAAGAACAAATGCTTTATTTAAAAAAAGAAAAAAACATTGCAAACAGAATACAAAATTACATGTTCGCTGTGATTACTGCTGAGTTAAATCGCACAGGCTTGGAGACAAAGACTAGGGGGGAAATGAAAAATTAAATCAGTTCTAGGCAACAGGATGGCTTGCCTTTCTTAAGGATATATTTATAAGGCTTTTATCACATTGGTGCCATAACAAAAATGGATGTGAAATACAAAAGATCTCCGTGCAGTGCTATTCACCTAAAACGCAGCTTCCCTGGTCTCAGGAGTGTTGCTGTTTGGTTGACCATGTTTGACCTTGACCGGTGCTGGCAACGGTCACCATAGAGATAGGCAGGCGGGAGGAGGGAAGGGCAGTACTGTCATCCCGCCCTGCAGTTTTGCGGTCGCGTTATATTATAACATTTTGAGGACAGACTATCTCCAGCATCTCCTATGTGGTATGCCTCCTCTGCAAGCTGGCTAAGTTCACTGAGTACCTGCTATGTCCTGGGCTCTGGGGTCAGAGAGAGAGAGAGAGAAAAAAAAAATAGACAGGTCCCTGTCTGTGGGAGCTCCATCCTTATCTCTTGGATACCTCACTTCACTCTAAAAGAGAAAGGCTCCCAGAGTGGGAGACTCTCCCTACAGTCCTCTCCTGGGCCCAGCATCTCGGTGAGGCCAGGTACCCAAGCAGGCTCTCTGTATATGGTTAGCAGACAAATTTCAATGTACCTTACAGCTAATTCCACGCATGGGTTTTGCCATCTTGGGCAAGTCTCTGTATGCAATCTCCCCCAACCCCATTCTCATTGCTGCGTAAGAGGCTCTTGAGGATAGATTGGAATCTCATTTTTGTAGGACCACATCTGGCACATCTGGCACCTGACGAGCTCTTTCCGCAGCTCAGTTGGGGTCTGCTGAGTTCTCTCAAGGTTCCTCGCCCCTGAAAGAGGCTCAGCTCTAATGCCTGTGGACTTCTGAGACACCATACCACCTCCTTAACCCTTCTACGTTCCCAGGGGGACACTGTTGGAACCGTTGCCAAGATTTGTGCCATGACTCCAAATCCCTTCTGCCTTGCTTCACTTTACCCCTGCTCCTGTGGGATTTTGGACTTCAGTTCCCTCACTGGTAGACCAGAGGGTGACAAGAGGCCAGCTCAGGGAGCCAGGAAGGGCCCATCCTCCTAGGATGTAGTCTGGTGAGCAGCTAGCTAGCAGGGAGCCTCTTTCAGAGGGAGGCACTGATGTGTGTACCCGTCTGTCTCTCTTCCTCTCTGTGTATGTGTGTGTTTGGGAAGGCAAACAGGAAGCTGAGACTTAAATCTCTTCATGATGAAAAATAAAAGAGCCCAGAATGCATCTCCTAAGTCCTCTTCAAGGACTTAGTAACTTCCTGAGTAATCCTCAAGGTTCTCTCCTTCCTGTCTCCCTCCCTCCCTCCCCCTTTTTCTTTTCTTCCCATTAGATTAGAAAGTACTACTAGAGTGTGAGGTACCTATCTTTTATTCTTTCCTCTTGGTAAGGTTTGTACATAAACTGTCCCCCAAAAGGCTCCTGTGTTGGAGGCTCCATCCTCCGTAGAGCCAATCATTGAGAGGTGGAGATCATGGAGGCTACTAACTATAACAGTGTGTTCACCTCATAGTGAAGTTATAATGAATGCGCCATTAGGAGGCAGGCTCTGGTTGGAGGAGTGGGTCACTGGAGGAATCCATCTTTGAAGGGTATATCCCACCTTGGCTCCTTCCTGTGTCTCTTTCTTTCTGCTTTCTGGCCACCATGAGGCAGCCATCTGCGCTTCACGGCCTCCTTCCCACTATGATGCTCTCTGCCTTTAACACAGGCCCACTCCAACAAGGCCACCTGACTGTGGACCAAGGTCTCTGAACCAAAAGCCAGAAGCCATCGTGCGTCTTTCTTGTCAGGACCGCCAGCCCCCAAATAATGACATAGAGACTTATTAATTATGAAAGTTGGCCTTAGCTAAGGCTTGTCGCACTAGCTCTTATAACTTTTAACCTGTTAATAATTCCATTAATCTATGTCTGCCACATGGTTTTACCTCTCCTTCATTCTGTATGTCTGATTCCCTCCGTGTCTCCCTGGTGGCTCTCAAATGTCTCAGATTCTTCTCCAGCTCTTCTCTGTCCCTGAAAGTCCCACCTAGTTTCTCCTGCCTAGCTATTGACCATTCAGCTCTTTATTAAACCAATCAGAAGACACCTTGGCAAAGACATATCTTTAGAGTGTTCAAAAAGATTATCGCACAACAAGAAGCTTCCTTCTCTTAAGTTGTTCTCCTCAAAAGGTTGATGAACACACTGCTGGATAGTATTGTCAACTTACAAAGGACAGAGGCCATGTTTGACTTTCTTATATCTCTTGGCATAGAGCCTGGCACTGGCCACTTTGTAAGCAGTGAGTGCTCAGGGTTTGCTGAATGTATTGAGCTTCTACATTGAACCCTGTCCTGTGCTTCTGAAGCTGGAAGGATAGAAAGATGGCTGGATGGATGGATGGCTAGATGGCTGGATAGATGGATGGAAGGGTGGATGAATGATGGCTGGCTGGGTGGATGGATGGATGGAAGAATGGAAGGAAGGATGGATGGATGGATGAATGGGTGGATGGATGGATGGATAGTGGGTGGGTGGATGGGTGGATTGATGGGTGGGTAGATGGTTGGGTGGGTGGATGGAAGGATTAATGGGAGAATGGATGTATAGAAGGATGAATGGATGAATGGAAGGATGGGCAGATGGATGGATAAATGGATGAATAGATAAACGTATGGGAAGATGGATGGGTGGATGGATGGATGGGAGGGAGGGTAGATAGATTAATGGAAGGAAGGATGGATGAATGGCTGGAAGGATAGAAGGATGGATAATAAGGAAACACATGGATAAACTGAGAAATTTAAAAAGAGTTTAATGAAGAACTGCTTAAAAAGTGGGAGACAAGAGCTTAGGGCAATCCAGGATGTGGTTCCCTGGGGCAAGAAAGAGAAAGAGCAGTTACCACCCCTAGTCCTGGCCGAACAAAGGGAAAAGTGATGACTCAGTCAGAGGGAGGGGCTGCCAAGAGGAGGCTGTGACTTCTGGTGGAGGAGAGCAGGCAGGGCAGGCCGCAGGCAGCCGACCTTGACTCTTCCTGGTGGTCATCTTGTTGTTGGAACTCAGTAAGAAACCGAGGCGCCTCGATGTGATTGTTAGGGATCAGTCTCCCTGGGATGCAGGCAGGGTAAAGAAGATGAAAAGTGGTCCTGGCAGGGCAAACAGCTCCTGTCCTCTGGCCAGGCAGGTTGTGAGTTATGCATCGTAGGGCCGACACTTTAAAACAAAGATGTTTGAATGCACCCCCCAAAAGACAGTGCAGGAGTACCGAGGTCTGTGTGATTATAGAATGTGAGTGTCCTCACTGGGGCCAGAGCTGCAGCTTAGTGTGGGGAGGAAGGGGGAGGGCCCAAGGGAAGCCTGTTTCTCCCTGGGCCAGTCTGTCTCCCACAGGGGACATGGATTTCCTGGATTTCTGGAAAATGGCTCAGAGAAGAGAAAAGGAAGCCATAGTGAGGCGTTTGCTCTGCTCTGGGTCTGTGCCAGGGGCTGGGATAACCTCAGTGACCTCCCTACTCCTTTTCTGACAACATCTGGTCCAGCTGCCATTCCTTCTCGATCAGCAGAACTCACACATGTGCACACATGCATAGACACATGTACACACACACACACACACACGCACACGCACACGCACACGCGCACACACACGCACACCCCTAACTTTCCACTCACTGACTCACAATAGGTTGAAGGAAAGGCATTATTAGATATTCTTGGGGTTTTTGTTTGTTTGATTGATTGGTTGGTTTCAGTTTTTCTGGAGGCAGGGTTTCTCTGTGTAGCCCTGGCTGTCCTGGATGTAGACCAGGATGACCTCAGACTGAGTGCTGGCATCAAAGGCATGCACCACCACTGCCAAGCTTATTAGATATCCTTGTTTTTAAGACTGGGGGAAACTGAGGCATAGAAAAACTAAAGAATTTCCCTGAGGTGACTCATGCTCTTAACTATTCTTACACACACACATAATATATTATTAATATATCCAGATTTACCTAATATAACAAATACCATGCAAATAAGTACTCACCAGTCTGTATTGATTAACGAATAAATGAAACACATGAATAAAAACTGAGAAACTAGCCATAAGAGAGCACTGTTGCTAGAGAGATAAAAATTGCCCAGAGTCTGCCTCCAACTGGCTACTGAGATGGGATGCAGATCTCTGGAGGGTACTGCTACAGGTCTCTGGGACTGCCAAGGGTTGGAGAACAGGCAGCCGAGGGCTGTTTCAGTCAGCTCGGTTCTGCTGAGGCATCTTCTGGGTAAACCTGCACTCAGAAAGATGATTCTTTACTCATCAAAATGTATGAAAACCGGAGATTCAAGCTGGCTCTACTCCCACTTCCTGCTCAGAGAACCTGTGATCTAGCTGGCAGCCATCCATCCTCCATGAAGGGTGCTGTCTAAAGCAGCTAGTTCTTGTCACCCTTCCAGCCACCTCACACCACCCTCATCAATAGTCACACAGTTCCCAAAGTAACTCTAACTCAAAACGCACCCGGCGAAGCCCTCACCCAGGACCAGTTTCCAAGCCCAGAACACTTGAGTACGAGGAAAAGCAGGTACCTGGTGTCTGAGGAGACAGGAAGTGATGGGGATAAACATAAAGCCTTTCCCTGACACCCAGACATGGAGAGGACGGGGACGTGGGAGGACAGAACTCTCCTGGGCCCTGCCAAGTCATTGCTAATATTTGTCCTGTGTTTGCCAAGTTCCAGGACAATACTAAACACCTCAAAGGTGTTAGCTCGTTTTTCCCTTGGCAGGAGCCCTGGGAGGCTGGTCTGCTCTCCAGGTGAGGACACTGAGGTGTGGAAGGAGTGGCTGCCGAGCTCACCCAGGGCCGTGGGTGAGGCTCACGACAGGGTCAGGGCTACAGCTTCTGTTGGCTCCCTTCACACTCATGGCGGTTGGCTCCCCATCATCCCACATGTGGTCGTGGGGCCCTGGACAAGCCACCAGGAGACAACCACCACAGTGTTTGCCCAACCCCGAGCAGTCTGGGGTCCTCTGAGTGTGGTAGGTCAGGAGGCTAGCTTTCCCTAGAGTTCTCATGGAAGCTGTGCAGGCCTCCAACACCCGTCCTGCAAGGCATGCTGGGAATCTAGCGTGTGTGTTCCGTTCCTGGCACAGGGTCTACCATAGCCGTCAGTTTAAATCTGCACTGGTTGCTAAAAGGCTCAAGAGTCAGTTAGAGCAGCTTGTATCTAAAACCTCCACACCCAGGAGGCAGTTCAAGGCTGGCCTGAGCTACAGAGCAATAGTCTATCAACAAACAAACAAACAAAAACAGAGTCTCCACACCCAGAGGCTCAGAAAGGGAAGTGACCTTATGAAGGTCACATACCTAGGAGCAGGCAGAAAGTTGAGATGGGCTCCTTATCAGTCTGACCCCAAGCCTGGGTATGGCCTGTAAACCACACACATCTAGGGCCCTGGAGTGCATGTCTAGGTCCCATTCCAAGCATCCCACACAGCAGGTCAAGAGGCTGCCTGCCGACTCCCAGTTCCTGACTATAAAAATGGTGCCCTGGGGTGATGGGAGAGGGATGAGGCAGGAAGATGCAGTCATAATATTGGTCCTGAACCTGGTGCCTGGAGACCACTTGCCCAAGTTTCGGCCACTCTGCCCTTACATCTGAGGATGCACACTGCA